GGAACTGAACAGTTTTTTTTGCTAAATGCTCAGTTTTTTGGTCTCTTTTCCTCTATCCTTTTCTGGTACTTTTTTTTATTGCTTAACGTTGCTTTCAAAAAAAAAAAAATAAAATAAAATAAAATAAGTAAAATTGCTTCTTTTTTTTTTTTTCGCAAATTATTATTAGCAATCTGTCGGCACCGTTTTACAGTTCCAATAAGTTACTTTTATTTTAACTTAGTAAATATGTTTTTTCTTTTTCTTTCTGCTTTTTGCAAGTTTATTCAGTAATAAAATATATTTTTTTGTTTTTATTTTGTTAATTCTATCAGTTTCATTAATAATATTTCATCTGATACAGAATACTGGAAATTGAAAGGAATAAAGACTAAAAATTGCCTTTAAAAATTACTGCATTTTTCTTGAATGCAACGGCAGCAGATATCACCGTTTTGACCAATTCCTTTCGTTTTTCTTCAGTGCATGCCGCAGTTGAAAGAACTGTTGTTGATCGTCTGAAAACAAGTGGAAAAGAAGCATTAAGGTGTTCGGAGATGGCGGTGGGAACAGAGGTTAAAGTAAGGGGAGGGGAAGACGGGAAAGTGGAACGGCGAGGAAATTGTTGACTTTCAAGGATTGGAGGAAGCATAAGAGCGGGTTATGTCCAGGAATCGCCCTTAATCGCTTTTTTCTGCTATAGTACTGAACAAAGTTTAAATGTCAGGTGGGATTCGAACCTATATTATGTATTTGCTGTTCCAGGATACAGTTTTCCAGATCAAGCTACGAAGAGACTAAAAATGGCAATATTTAGACATCATTTTATCAGGCTCGTCAACTTTTCTCAATTTTTTTGCGACAGGGTAAGGCGGTGAGAAGGGGAAATGGATCAAAGCTGGGTTACTTCACTTGCATATTTATTTGCTTCATAAAAAAGAAATTCAGTCTGCAGTAATAATTTGTTATTGTCAGTTTCCTTTTTTTTTTTGGTTTTCTTTTTTTTTAGTGTAAATTTTAGTTGCAGGTGGACTGTTTAAAAAAAAAAAACTTAGAGAAGACATCGTAGCTTAGAACGAGAGGAAAGAACCAGTGTTTATGTTTACCAATAACGGAATTATTGGTCATTTTTTCCTTCCAAAAAAATTTTTGATGTGCCTATTGTTAAGGGGCTTTTTATTTTACGGGTAGAAAATTTAGGCAAAAAAAAAAAAGGAAAAAAAGAAAGTAGATATATAAAAGAAAAGAAATTTTCAAATAATTTATTTGCCAATAGAAATTGGAAGTTAATGACCGATCTAGTACTAGGCGAGAGGTTTGGTTCCTATGATTATTTCTTTTTTTCCTTGATTTTTTTCTTCTTTTTTTTTTTTTCTTGGTTTTTGTTTTTGTTTGTCATCACAGTGCAATAAGTTTACATAATAGAATCAGAATCTTGTTTGCCATGTTGCATGTTGTTTTGTAGTAGTGGTACTGTACACACAGATAGATGTCAGTTGTTTGATGACGCTGACGATGTTTTTATTGAAGATGACTAAAAACTGGCAAAAACTGGTGAATTGTTGTTTTACGAGCTTTGATAAGGCTTGTTGGCCGTATTTGAACAGAACATTGTACCGACAGGCATACTGATACCGATGTTATTGCTGCTCTATTGCTGTTTATGATTATGATACTGGTGAGAATGATGATGACGGTGATGATGATGATGGTGTTGGCACATGCTTTTAACACTGTCAAGCTGTTAGACATTCGGTGTCCCTTCTAGAGGTCAACTCAAAACTTTTTTTTTTTTTTTGTCGATACTGGATCGCCAACACTAAAGGAATTATTTTGCTCGTTATGTCGAACATCTGTGTGTCCGTGTGTGTGTCTGTGTGTATCAATAAATAATTTTTATCTGCAAAAATTATTGCAAATTCAGAAAAAAAAGGAAAATTTGATTGCCCAAAAATAGAAATTTATTAAACCAGTTAAGAATTGTCTACCAAAAGCTTTGTCGGCGGCATTTCTTTGAAAAAAAAAAACTTCCTCCTATCACTATGTTCTTTTTTCGTTTATCTTTTTCCTCTTCTTTCTACTCTGAGATGTAGCGGTAGAAGACACAGAAGCGGGATGATGTCAACGTTAACGGTCTTAAGCTGTTAAACTTTCTTCTGCTGTAAAAAATTAGTAATAATGCTTAATAAAATAAATTTGTTTTTTTTTTTTTTTTTTTTTTTTCAACATGGATAAACAGACAGTTGCAGTGAAGTCATTTTTGTTGGTTAGAACTAAGATAGTGTAAAGAAGCTGCAATTTTTGCTTCTATTTTGTTAAACTATATTTTCCCCATTATTTCATCATCCAATATTTACCTATCATTTTTCGATGTCATCATCCAGGTCTCAAGTTTCCTCAGAATGACAACAACTGCAAAGAGAGTGGGAAGAGGTGAAAAAAATTGAAACGAAATGAAAAGAAAAATTTGTTGTACTGTTGACAAAGCCATCTACAGTAGCAGCAGATGACTATACCGATCGACCGGTCTGCATGGTAGGATGATGCAAGCAAGTTAACAAGCACTGCTCTCGATTGTTTGCTCTGCTTACCTGCTTCATTGTTTTCTTTCTTCAAACTTCTTCTAGGGCCAGTTTATTTTCTTTACTGCCATGTCTTATTCATCACGCAGCTTCATCATCAACAGAAGCTGCAGCAGCAACAATTACAGCAAAAATGACGAAAACAGCGAATTAAAAAATTTTTCTTTCTTGGGAATTTTGTTTTTCCGTCACCACACTTTCATTAGCTTCCTTTTTCTGACCATTTTCGGAAGGTTAGTGCTAGACTCATTTGATTCTTCACCCTAAATTAGCCCAACTATAACTGACCAGTGCCGGTCAGCTTTGTTGGCAGGCAACCGTCCGTAAACAGATACACCGGACAGCGGTGAGAAAAGAGAGTGAGCAATGAATTATGGGCGAATAGTGCAGAGAACGGCAGAAAAAGAGATGAATGAAGCAGCGTACTGTAGGTGCCGACAAGTTAGCATTATCACCTCAGGCATCGTTCAAGCACCACTTTCTCTGAGACACTTATTGATCGAAGGCGACAGAAAGGAAATATTTGGGATATGTGTCGTCTACATGGTTTCCATTTTCTCTGGTCGTATTACGGATGACTGTTGACCAGTAGCATCTTTAACTTTTAATTTCCAACGTTTATCGCCTTAGTTATTCAGAAGAACTTTATTTGAACAGTTATAATGATGTACTGATTTGCTCCTTTTTTTCTGTCGCACATTATTCTCTTTATTTGTTTACAACCAGTAATATTTGCTGATGAATGTGACTTTTTTTTGGTTTTATAGTTTCAGAATGTTGTTTTACAATGTTTATCAAGATTACAATTATTGGTTGTTAAAGAAAGAATTATGAGGTATTTTGTTTTGTGTTCAGAACTTAAAAGTGTTTTTGATAGGGTGTTTCGTTGTTGATAGGGAAAAGGGAATTGGTTTGTTCGTAGGATTTCCAGCCCTGGTTTATTGGTTGTAAAATGAATAGTGTTTATATATACGTTTATGTGTGTATAAGCGTATGCAGCGATTTATGCTTTTTAAGGCGGGGAGGGGGATGGAAAAGGATGAGAGGGGGAACAGAGGGAAAGAAGGACAGGGACGGGAATTGCGGGGCCAAAAGGTTCAGTGCAATCCCGCCCTCTTGAATATATACGTCTTGTCTGTCGCTTTTGGATGCAACCGAACTAACTGAATTCTTGAAACGTGCTGGTCACTTATATCTGATGTTTTTCAGTCACACTGGACGACTCTCGACCGAATTGAGCTTGTATTATTGCTGTTATTGTTGTTATTAAAAAATTACTCATCTGCCTGGTCTGTTTCCCGCTGTGTTATGTAACGATTGTCAGCAAGCGACCAGTGCTTTCCTTTTTTTTTTTTTCGTTGACTTCAAGACAGCAAAAGTCCACACAAATTTTTAACGACATTGATGGTTATGGTTTTGCTTTATCAACTATCACTGCTCTTATGCTCTCTATGGATTCATCGGGCGATCAGTACTACTTCTAAAGATGAACCAAGTTAGTGATATTTAATTGTTTTCTTCACTTTAACATTTTGCTCAGTCCCAGCTATTGGTCAGAATTTGCTTCTTAATCCGACAGTTTAATGCACTCGTTGGGAATAAAACTTTTTTGGTCGGAGGTGAAGAACATGCTTATTAATTTCTTCTCTTAAATTACAAATCATTTAAATTCTCTTCGATTATATTTCAAAAAAAAATGTTTTAAAAGTAAAAAGCTTGCTTTCAGTAGATTTTTTTACAGCATTAAATTCTTAACTTAGAAATTGTTTTTTTAAACTCTATAAGCTTTTAGGTCTTTCCAGGACAAGGAAAATTGGAAAATGATGGGATTCTTTTTTAATGTTGCCTCTTTCCTTACTCTTTTTCAACATTTTAAGTTGAAAAAACTCCCTTTGTATTTCTGAAAATGTGCTCCTTGAGCGGATGAGAGCTAATCTCGTCTGAGACCTGCCTTTCTATATCCACTAGTCTTCTAGCACTTAATTAACGATAATCTTACCTCAGAAAGACCTATTGCTCTTCCGTTTGTTCATTCTTTCTTGGTTTCTGATATCTTTTAAAAACGGAGCTTGAAAAATAAAAAGAATTTATGATCTTGTTTTGAACTGAGGTTTCAGCTAAGAAAATCCGTACTTAAATTACGAGATATAATTGACGATGCATCTATGCCTGTTTTGCACTCTTGTTTCATTTCAATTCGTTTTGCTGAGGGTGAATCACTTTTATCCTCAACGTTCTCGGTCGTATTCAGTACTTTTTTAAAAACACCTGGAAATGACAATTTATACATGAGTAGAATTTTTTCAACTCATTTAGATAAGAATTCCATTTTTAAGCTTCTTTATCGTGTCGCGTTTTTTGCACTTTTTTATTTACGGCAACCACCTTTGAATTTTATTAAAGTTTATTCGCAGTTCCAGAAAGAAATGTTATTTTTGAAGGAATGAAATTTTCTTAGATTTTTGATGAGGACACGTTTACGGGAGTACAAGAGCTAAAGTATTAAACACATTCAAGAACCTGATATTACGTAGCTGCATCATTCTGTTATTTGTATGGTAGTGTAGTACTTCATAAATCTAACTATCTGTTTGGAGGTTTGCAGGCTTTTGCTTATTCTTCACTTGTGCAGTTGATTTATTTATTTATTTATTCATTTTTTTGAGTTTATCTGCTTTTTATTTTTTGTTAAAATCAGTTTACTCTTTGTAGGAAAATATTTTTTTGTTGTTCTGCTTTCACTCGTTTAATGTTCAACAGTGATATGGCTCTTTGTAGCTATGCTCGTTCACTTTTTTTGCATTCAAGAGTATAATTATAGGAATAGGAGTGAGTAGTCTTTGAAGAATATCTCTTATGAAAGAGTGTGAAGTTTATAATAGTTTGCCTCTTTTTCAGAATGATTTTTTTTTTATCGGGAGAGTAATATCGATTACAAATTACAGGATCTTTGTTAATCACTTACATGCACAGAAAAGAAGAAATGTTTTTAGTTGTTTCACTGTTTTAATGTGCTGTGTTAAACGAGGAATAGACAAAAGGATTTGACAATTGAAGGTTAATGGCGTGTATTGAGTATAGCAGTTAGCGGTAGCGTTACCTGTAGTAGGATGGCTCTTATTAATTTTAATGGTTGTAAGACGTTTTGAAGTGGGATTTTGACTTTCCTGGGATTTATTGGACACTATGTTATGGCAGAATTGTAGATAAGTTTTGTCCTTTTTTGTTTCGAAATAATTTGGAAAATAGTCATTTAAGTTCTATGTACTTGTACATTTATTTGTCCCTAACGCAGAAGTTATTGCTTTGTAAACTGAGCATCTTTGCAAAGTAACAGTTGATGCGACGAAACTAGACTATAATGACTAAATTGCGGTAAGATAAAAAGGGAAAGACAACTTCTGATTAAAAGTTTTGTTGTTTGTTGATCGGCTTAATAAAGTTGCATATGGTGATGACGGGAACAGCGATGCTACGAATGACTAAAAGGCTGTTTCGCTTGTGTTTTTACAGATTACGAGTCATCCTGCATACTAGCAGCGGTAGTTCAAGTGTAATTGCTTTTTCTTTTTTTGTTCTTGATCGGCAGCCGATCTACAGATTTCTAATCCTGAGTGCAAACTTCCGCTCTTACCCGTCATTATTGCACAATTTACATTAACCTTTTTTTGCTTTCATCGTTGGTTTTCCGCTCTCCTCTAATTTCACGCTGTGAATAAAGCTGACATTAAAACAAACAATGGAGGACTGCATGCAAAAGTTTCAACAACATATTTTTGAGCCGCATCTTACTTCGTTTTCTACAGGGTTCTTTAAAATTTATTCATCTCTATATCTTTTTATGTGTAATTTTTGGCAATGAAGTAGCTAAGTTCTAAAGTTTACTCAAAGGCTGTATTATTATTGATAATTTTTTTGGTTTTTGTGTGAGTGCGAAAAGAAAAAATTGTTGTCATCACCAACACTTTAAAAAAAAAATTCTAGTTGTTAAAGATTTTTTTTATTATTTTACTGACTGGAAGTCAACGGTCTCCGTGAAGACCATCCTAATACCATTGTTGCAGTGGCCAAATGAAAATACTCATTGATTGCTAAAATTGAAAACAAATTAAAATCTGCAGCATCGTTTTGCAAATGAACCGGGATTGGGCTATATTCGTTACTTGAAAAACGTTGATTATACTCCTAATTTCCTTTTTTCAGCTTTCGATAGAGGTCTCATATTGGATATTTTTTGTGGTCACAAACTGATCTCTGAAATTCTTTGAAACAGTACATGTTCTATAGTTCTTTTAGCATTTTGAAATGTTTATTCATCAGAGTTGGGTGTGTTAAGATAGTGTATTTTCTTTTGAAAGGCCTCAGTCTGGGACAATTTTATTGTCGTACTTCATTCATTGTGTAAATCCAAATTTTTTCTTGGAATGTAATAGCTGTACAGTAAACTATTCTAAATTTTAGAAATATTTTGCGAGGGTGATTACGCAAACTTTAGTTGTCCAGACGGACAGTATATAGCATTGCGGATTGCGAATTATGGACGATTTAGCCTTGGGATTTGCAATAAAGATGGGGTTGCTGACTGGAGTACAACTTGTCAGAATGATCGAACCTTAGAAATCCTTCAGAAAACGTGAGTTTAGTTACTCAGTGGCTGTACCTTGCTTAATTCGACCTTTGATTTATCAACAATGGATTTTTTATTTGAAATCTGGTCTTTTACTGTAGGAGAAAAGTTGCTTGTTTTCTCTTCTACGTTATAAATGAATGTGAGAGGTAACGGTTTTGATTATTTGGAGAAACTGTTGTTTTGAAAGCTTTATTGGTATATATTTTTGGAACATTTTTGATTCTGTGTTTCATTTTGAACTTATTTTTTGAAATTAAGAGTTTTGATCGGGTTGTGTAACAGAACGGATTTAAATATGGTTTTGCAATTGTTTAAACGAATTTAGAGTGGACGGGTTTTTATTGGACTCCAGCTCCTCTTTACATTCTATTCTTGGTCCATTACTGAATTTCGGCTTTACTATAAGGGATAGTTTTTGAGTAAGCTGTTCAGAGTTACGCTTGAAAAGATATCTTTCCTACTTATACGGTTAAAACATTCTAAAGGATTTTTCAACCTTTTCTAATCCTGACGAGCACAATAATCCTTCTTTGCGAATTTCAAAAACAATTGTATTTTTGAGTGGATTTAACGCGTGGCACCCGCCTTTGTGCTTAGAATGCCGCTTATGCGCGTCCTCGATATGCCATTCCTGTTTTTTATATTGGATCAGAATCCACCATAAAAGAAATTATTTCTGTTTGGTATTATGTTTTTGTTTCAAATTTCGAGACGGTTCATTGTGTAATCACAGTGAGAGTTGTGAAGCATCTTTTCGCAGTCATTTTTGATTAATGGATTTTGTAAAGTTTTATAGCTAGTTTTGGTAAATTCTAGGAAGGTATATTCAAGACTTAATTCAAAACTACTCGTTAATTTTTTTCTGGTTGCATTAAGTTGCTTTGAAATTAGCCCTACACAAAATAAACTGAGGTAGAACGGACTGCTTTTTTTTGCTCGAAGATTTTTTTTCTGGTTTTAAATTTTAGCCTTTTTAGTATGATAAGACACTATTTTTTTAGGTGCCGGTGTAATTTTTTTTTTTTTTTTTT